CACTGACAAATGACCTGGAAGGGGTCGCGACAGTTAGCCAATGTTGACGTGAAGGAAATTCCTTTGTCCAATCTGTTGCTTGTCTGAATAAACACAGTATTGAGTAAAGTGACAAAGACTCTGTAGTTAATAAAACGGAAATACATTCAAAACACATCGTCAACTATCAACGGGATGAGACACATTTCTATTGAAAACATTGGTGTAGTATCACCTCTGACCTCTGAAAAAATCAGCGCGCGCGCGCGCGCGCGCGCGCGCGCGCGCGCGCGCGGCGCGCGCGCGCGCGCGCGCGCGCGCGCGCGCGCGCGCGCGCGCGCGCGCGCGCGCGCGCGCGCGCGCGCGCGCGCGCGCGCGCGCGCGCGCGCGCGCGCGCGCGCGCGCGCGCGCGCGCGCGCGCGCGCGCGCGCGCGCGCGCGCGCGCGCGCGCGCGCGCGCGCGCGCGCGCGCGCGCGCGCGCGCGCGCGCGCGCGCGCGCGCGCGCGCGCGCGCGCGCGCGCGCGCGCGCGCGCGCGCGCGCGCGCGCGCGCGCGCGCGCGCGCGCGCGCGCGCGCGCGCGCGCGCGCGCGCGCGCGCGCGCGCGCGCGCGCGCGCGCGCGCGCGCGCGCGCGCGCGCGCGCGCGCGCGCGCGCGCGCGCGCGCGCGCGCGCGCGCGCGCGCGCGCGCGCGCGCGCGCGCGCGCGCGCGCGCGCGCGCGCGCGCGCGCGCGCGCGCGCGCGCGCGCGCGCGCGCGCGCGCGCGCGCGCGCGCGCGCGCGCGCGCGCGCGCGCGCGCGCGCGCGCGCGCGCGCGCGCGCGCGCGCGCGCGCGCGCGCGCGCGCGCGCGCGCGCGCGCGCGCGCGCGCGCGCGCGCGCGCGCGCGCGCGCGCGCGCGCGCGCGCGCGCGCGCGCGCGCGCGCGCGCGCGCGCGCGCGCGCGCGCGCGCGCGCGCGCGCGCGCGCGCGCGCGCGCGCGCGCGCGCGCGCGCGCGCGCGCGCGCGCGCGCGCGCGCGCGCGCGCGCGCGCGCGCGCGCGCGCGCGCGCGCGCGCGCGCGCGCGCGCGCGCGCGCGCGCGCGCGCGCGCGCGCGCGCGCGCGCGCGCGCGCGCGCGCGCGCGCGCGCGCGCGCGCGCGCGCGCGCGCGCGCGCGCGCGCGCGCGCGCGCGCGCGCGCGCGCGCGCGCGCGCGCGCGCGCGCGCGCGCGCGCGCGCGCGCGCGCGCGCGCGCGCGCGCGCGCGCGCGCGCGCGCGCGCGCGCGCGCGCGCGCGCGCGCGCGCGCGCGCGCGCGCGCGCGCGCGCGCGCGCGCGCGCGCGCGCGCGCGCGCGCGCGCGCGCGCGCGCGCGCGCGCGCGCGCGCGCGCGCGCGCGCGCGCGCGCGCGCGCGCGCGCGCGCGCGCGCGCGCGCGCGCGCGCGCGCGCGCGCGCGCGCGCGCGCGCGCGCGCGCGCGCGCGCGCGCGCGCGCGCGCGCGCGCGCGCGCGCGCGCGCGCGCGCGCGCGCGCGCGCGCGCGCGCGCGCGCGCGCGCGCGCGCGCGCGCGCGCGCGCGCGCGCGCGCGCGCGCGCGCGCGCGCGCGCGCGCGCGCGCGCGCGCGCGCGCGCGCGCGCGCGCGCGCGCGCGCGCGCGCGCGCGCGCGCGCGCGCGCGCGCGCGCGCGCGCGCGCGCGCGCGCGCGCGCGCGCGCGCGCGCGCGCGCGCGCGCGCGCGCGCGCGCGCGCGCGCGCGCGCGCGCGCGCGCGCGCGCGCGCGCGCGCGCGCGCGCGCGCGCGCGCGCGCGCGCGCGCGCGCGCGCGCGCGCGCGCGCGCGCGCGCGCGCGCGCGCGCGCGCGCGCGCGCGCGCGCGCGCGCGCGCGCGCGCGCGCGCGCGCGCGCGCGCGCGCGCGCGCGCGCGCGCGCGCGCGCGCGCGCGCGCGCGCGCGCGCGCGCGCGCGCACTTTACAATATTCAGCTGACGAGGTAAAATTGACTAATTTGTTCTAATAATAATCAGGAGACATCCGAAATGGACACGGAAGCTATTTCTTGTTACTGATACAGCTACTACAAGAAATATGCCACTTAAAAAAAAGGCTACGTTGGATGCAATTCTGACTCATAATATACACCTGAAATCCACGCGAGACTCCATCTATATAGAGGGTTCGAAACTAATTCGGGAATGCGTGCTATATACGCTTACATTCACCTGTATGTACTGCAGCGTTCCTCTCACTGATAACCATGAAATATGTTGTTTGTTTTTGTACCAATCCGTACAGCAATCGTAATAGCAGACATTAACTCTACCTATACTATATGTGGTCCGAAATGTCATCAGCTGGAGATGAAACTAACCGGTAAACTGCCTAATAAACTAGTCGATAAATAACATTTGAAAATTACATTACAAAATACCCTCGAGTGTTTCTGGGGAGGATATTGTAAGTGTACACATGTACAGGCTATGATAACCCAGCACGTGCTGATGTTATTGGTCTGTGTTTCGTCTGCTAAAACACTTGAAGGTGAAGCGGAGCGATGAGTAATACCATAAAATATGTGAAGGAAGTTTGGCAAACATCTATTCTGGTGAAATGTAAGCAACCTTTCATCCTGTAGCTGGGAACAAGCTTTCCTAAATTTACAGAAAGACCACAACAGCTATCTTTGTTTTACAACAACAATCGTTGCGTGTTTTCTTGATCAAACCTAATGGTTCTACACATCCATCTTATTGGGATTTGTAAGTTTCTCGGCTTGCTACATGGTAGTAAAGAGTTGTCGGGTTTTCAATTTATTTATTTTTGTTTTGTTTTTCTTGTCCAGCTATTTTGGTTCTATTCTCAATAAGTTTTATTTCTCTTTCATTCCAAACCAATCGTCGTTTTATCACATTGTAAGTATAGGTTTGAATAAATATTCAAGTATTCAGATATTTTCTATTTGTACATTGGAATCTGTTTTTGCTGAGAGAAAAGTTTTTAATTTATCTCTTCAGTCATTTATTCATTCGTTCTTTTATTTATTTATTGAAACTTTTCAGAAATCTTTATCATACTTGACATATGTTGATTTGCTTTATCACAAAAAATGGCATTGAAAGTCATAACTGAAACGTATGACCTCTAATTGTCCTTCACAGTATTTCACAGAGCTTACTGCCAATACATCCGAAGATTGCTAAGAGGTCTCACGATCTTGGTGCCTATAACTATACACCATATAGGTTACAGGTTTTCAGTCATAAAGATTAATAAAGTTGATAATTCATTTATACATGTTGTGTCAACACAAGGAAAATCCTTCTACCGACAAACAAACATTTCAACAACTATTCCAGTCTGTGTTGTACTTACTGAGGTTGGAATTATTGAAGGACATCATCAAAGTCGCTGCGGGCTCTGACCAGGGCCAGGTTTTAACATGTCACCCTTCACGTGGAGACATTTTATAAAGGTAGATTATCGGTAATATATCAATTATACGGTGTCAATGAGGTGTATATAAGGAAACGGTCGCCAGATTAGGTATGAAATGCTATTAAAATACAATTATGTGATACGTTATCCGTCAGAAGTATAATTTTAGAACAACCACAATTTATTGATAATGACTTTACGCCACACTAGACCGATGGGAAATTCACATTGGACACTGAAAGCATCACGGAACACATTATCAACGCTCACTGAAGTTTTAAATTTTTTTAATATGGTGTTCTGATAGCCGACTTGTTGGGAAGATCGGGTATTGCATGACTTAGTTAATGCCTGGTAATAAGCTGTACGGATTTTCTTCAGATCCTAATTGATGTCGACAGTAATCACCTTATGTACATGACATTGCCAACACGTTCACTGGAGAGACATAATCTCGGAAACATGCAATGTCGTCATTTTACATTCTCTTTAGATTTAATCTTCAAATGTCATAATACACTTACAGCCCCACCTTACCTGACGCGCATGCGTGGAAAGACGTAAAATTCTGAAGGTAGATTACAGTATATGGTAGTTTAACGAAATCAATATTGCTGCTTTAAAGAAGACTAAATTAGGTCCCAGCGTATTCACTTTAAATATGCACACCTATTTGTTTGGTAAGAAGGAGTTACAACATAGTGCTGCTTGCCTTTTTGGTTTTAATTGTATTATTCCTGTTTCACTTTATCATTATTATGTCTTAATGTAAATGTTTTGTCAGTGAATAACATGCAACTGTTTTTCTAAGACTTCAGAATGTTCTGTTTTTATATCTTGTGACATTTTAAAACACATACCATCAATGTTGTACAAGAATAAATATCGATTTTATACGCTATTTAATTGTATTTGGTAGTAAAACGACAACGAAAGAATTCTTAAAATGTAACCTCGTGTCTACATTGTATGTTAGACATAGATGTATGGTTATCGTTTGTAGTCGTATCTCAATACACACAAAACAATATGTTTAAGTGCCTAAGTGTGGCTAAAACAACGATAATATAACACGGAGGTTCTTGAGAATTATACAAGGAAAATGACTGTACGCAACATAGGGTAAACAGCCTCTGTTTCATCGACTACATTTACAATGTTAATCTTTCTCTAGAGGATCTAGACATTAACAACAGATATAGAACATTTACAGCAGGTATGGAACAGGTATAGAACATTTACAGCAGGTATGGAACAGGTATAGAACATTTACAGCAGGTATGGAACAGGTATAGAACATTTACAGCAGGTATGGAACAGGTATAGAACACTTACAGCAGGTATGGAACAGGTATAGAACACTTACAGCAGGTATGGAACAGGTATAGAACATTTACAGCAGGTATAGGACATTTACAGCAGGTATAGAACATTTACAGTGGATATACAACATTTACAACGGATATAGAAAATTTACAACAGGTATGGAACAAGTATTTAACATTTACAGCAGGTGTGAAACATTTACTACACATATAGAACAGATATAGAACATTTGAACATGTTCAGACCATTATTACTCTGTAATACTAAATCATAATTCGTCCATGTTTCATTGTATCTTTCAGATAGTTACCCCATAGACTAGCAGCATGCCGTTTAAACCTCCACAGCAGGCCAAGTGTCCAAAGTGTGGAAAATCGGTTTATGCTGCCGAAGAAAGGGTTGGAGCAGGACAGAAATGGCACAAATTTTGTTTTACCTGTGGTTAGTAACGATGTAACCATTTAAAGTATCTCGATGAATATGGAACCCCCGGCATACACTATATACATTTAGTTGGGTATACAGTTTTAACTAAGAAATTCTGTTTTCATGGGGCTGAAATTCCGAAACTAACATCCAACAAAAATGAAAAAAAAAATCAATTAATTTTACAGTTTAAGATTTTTTTCCCTTCCACCTCTGTACCGATTTGTTCCTTTCAGCGAGGAAGCTAGTATTTCAGCTGAGCTTCGTCACAGTAAAAAGACATTGTTTTAAAGTTTCCTAATTCTATCATCAGGTGCATCGATATCTGCTGATACCAAATTTATCCAGTTGCTACAATAACGAGATACTTATAAATTAATCAGTGTAACAAACCATTTGTAGAGATCTAAATCCTATTGTCCTATTGTATGAAAACTATTAATCCGGGCTGTTTACCTAGCGAGAGACCAGATTCCACTTGAATGCAAAACCTTAATGGGCTGTTACCCAAGAAAAATCGAATTCATGCACTGAAAAATTATACAAAAGACACACAAGCGAATAGCATCTGTCAATACCAATTTAGAATAAGATAGAGTGAAGCCAAACTTTGAATCAAACTGCATCAAATAAATGTTTCGTCCTTCTAGGACTCGTTAGCGACGCTAATGGCTTTTTATTTTGAAACCTAGGAACCGACTGAGGAAAATTTAAAGTGATCCAACCAGTCGAAATCTAGATGGAGAGGAGCGTCAATCCCATATTCAGTTTAGATTTCCTAATGTTCATATATCTGATATTTAGAAAAGAACTACAAGTACACCTGTATCTACTGAACCGTGCCACTGTTCGAATGAATTCAAACACGACAAACGTTACGACAAACCCCGGGGAACAAACAACATAACTCAGGGAAACAAGATAGGACAAGGATGAGCTCAACACTGGTCATTTGTCTGATGAAGATGACCATGTAGTCATCGAAATTTCACACTATAATCTTCCATTGGTTGTGTTATAAGATGAAGGTGACCATGTAGTCATCGAAACGTCACATTCTACTGGTTGGGATATAATAACTTCTATTCAACCCGAACCCGAAGAAAATGTCTAAAAAAAGATAGGAGAGTAAGGAATCCATTAAAAGCGTTATCCAAAAAATGCACGTTAATGTTAAATAAGTGCCAGACACAAAAAAGATCGGAACAAATGACTTATCTATGGTAAATGTTGAGAATACTGTTATATTCATTTATGAATATCGAATAGTGCGGATGTTCTGAACTGCTCCTAGTACATGTTAGGGATTCTATTTACAGAACTTAATGTCAAACGATTTCAAAGCATTTCCCCACAAACGAAAAAGTCATTAGCGGTGCCTTTATGTGATAAACGTTTCTGTGTTGTGTTAATCCTAAGTTTATTGTTTGTATGATTCAATTTGTAGGTGTTTGTAACAAGATGCTGGACAGCACCACCGTGGCCGCCCATGATGGTTTGGTATACTGTAAAACCTGCCACGGCAAGAGCTTTGGACCTAAGGGATATGGTTTCGGGAGTGGTGCCGGTGCTCTGAGCACGGAAACCGGCGCCCAACACGGCGTTAAAAAGGGAGAAATGAGGCAAGTTAGCAAAATCAAAATCGAATCATTATGACGTGTGTGGGATTTTTGTTTGATAAATGAGTGAAGGCTTGACTCACTTTAGATTATATGACTGTAATTAACGTATTATGTTTTTTTAACATAAACAAAAATCGTTACAGTATATATTCCATCGATGTTCAAATAATTGCCCTACTTACACTCTATATCTTGTTTGCCTTTATGTAGTTCAGGACCGTGAACATGATAGGATACACTCCGTATCGTGAAAATATGAAACTTTTTTTTTCAGTTGACAAAGTTTTGAGTTGGTATTACAGTTTTCTGCCAAGTTAGAAAATCATGTTTTTATTGATTGTATATTAATCCGAGACGGCTATCATCGTTATAAATTATCAACAAATTACCATTTTATTCTAATTTACAACCATTTCGGTCGATGATAGATATTGTATATAGAGTCTGAAAGGAAATGACATAAAGACTTCGTAGTGAGTAAATCACTCTTCACTTGACTTATCAATCCTTAAAGCCGTTGGTGACCTCATAAAAACTGTACAACATAGCCAGATATGCCCCTTCTTAATATCTACTCTAACAAACTAATGCTTATTTATGGAAATACCTCCTGATTATCTACATGTATATATCCCTGATTCAGCTCATGCGCATCTTCTCTTGGATAAAAAATTCCAGAATGTAGTTTTTGTTCGTTACGAATATCTCGGGGCTGACTCAGATATTCCAATTTAAATGTTACAAAGTGTACCCACTTCCTTTTTATCCGCCGATGTATGTAGATTCGTCGCCTGCCTTGATCGTTGACCGTCAAAAATGTAGCTATAAATATATCTTCTGCAGCAAGCTTATTTAATCTCTATAAAGAAAACACAGTCTTAAATTGCATCTTCGTCGCCGACTTTAATATGTACTTGTAATGCTAAGTAACGCAATGAAGAAGCACACTGGTTAGAGTAAGACATCAGATACATTGAGCTGAACACAATCACCCAGTTAACATGCTATGGTTTTCATTTGGCGTGTGGAAATATTGTTTCCACATAAGAAAAACGGCTGGCCTATTGCATTATGTTACTTTTTCGTTTTAATTGTTTTAGTAACAAGCCCAAAGAAGCCGTCATTGGAGGTACTTCTGGTCCCGGCCCCCATTGTCCTAGGTGTGGAAAAACGGTCTACGATAACGAGAAGGCAATCGGTATCAGCATAGTGAGTATTAAACACCATCTATAAAACATAAGGACGCGAGAAAGAATCCCAGGTTAGCTAGAATATGCATTAAACTGATGAAGGAAGCTTTAGTGGATACTACCATTGATATTGCTTAAGCTCCATTAACTGAGTCATTGTTTAGTGGTTTTGAAAGTGCACTGATGCCAGGATTGATAAAAAATGCGATATGATTTTGCTTTTTTAGGAGTCTCCGTGTCAATCTCTTTCTTTTGATCGTATTTAGCCCTAGATTTATTGAATTTGAGCTTGGATTGTGATTATGTTGACATATCGTAAATATGATGAGCCTAACAACATTCTGTATTTTTATCGGATGTCCTGTATTCTTTAGTGACAAAATTATCTAAAGATCTAAGAAATGGATAAAGTCATTGTGTATACTTTTTATTCTTTACATCATAATTGCCTATGTATGCATTTATTTGTTTATTTACTTATTTATATCTCTAATCATTTTTTTTATTAACAGCCATTTCATAAATCCTGTTCCAAATGTAAAACGTGCAACAAGAGCATCGACTACAACACAATGTCGGAACACGAGGGCGATATTTACTGCAAAGGTAAGCACTATACGTAGAAGTCAAGGTCATAAACTTATTGGTTTCATTGAAGTCATTGTAATTAAATCTACATTTGTATAAGACGTTTTTTGTGATAACCATGCTATCATTTTTAATTTGTTATGGTTATTACTTCTGACACTATGCTATAACAGTTGTCGCCTGAAACGAGTTTTCAAAAATAAATTTCATTCAATGATATGAAAACATTAAACACGTGTTTTTAAAATGTTATTATGGACTAGTAAATTTCAGATAAACGCTTTGAAAGTTATATTTCAACATTTCTTTTGATTCCTATACGGTTTTCAGTAATATTGTTTAAAAAAGCGTTACTGATAAGTGCACCTCTGTCGAATGGCGGAATAGTAACTACGCTTAAACACCTACGAAAGATTATGTATGACATTGTACTGTTACTTAATACCTGTATATTGCTTAATATATTTTGTTAAATACTTGTATGACGTCAAGCGTTAAGGCAAGGTTATGACATACAACCTGTCATTTTGTAAGAATTTATGAATGGCATCACACTCTTTACCAGAAATGACATAGGTTTCGACGGCAGATGACAGATATATATCCATAATGTTTTCATGTATTGTCATTTTTCGTTTCAGGATGTTACGCAAAGAATTTCGGACCGCATGGATTTGGTGTTGGCACATTGGCTTAAACTATTACATGAAATCACTAATTACTTCCCCAAACCTTCCTAACTCTCCGGTCTATCCGTTTACACGGAATGTGTTGATAGGCCATATATATCTTCGTTTAGTCAAGTTAAACGTAGAAATCACACGAATATGTCTTGTTTATATTTCTTTAATGCTTGAATGAGTCAAAAGAATGTGTCATTGTCAATAACAAGGTGTAAATAAATGAGAAATACAAATTAACTTAATATCAATAAAATATTGTTAGAGTTTTTATTTGCAAATGTGAAAAGGTATCGTTGACGTTTTGGTGTATCTTACATTTTAAGTTAATTCAAACATGATTTTTTTTTTGGGGGGGGGGGGGTATTTGTTTTTGTTTGTTTGTTTTGTTTTGTAAATTTTAGATAATATTACAGTCATTCAAGGAAGTAATAGAACAAAACACATTGTAATTCATTAACAACAACATAGCACACAGAAACGCGAGAAACTAAAAGTAACGTATTTAATTCAATAAATATTGCTGATGAATGCAGGATATAGGATAACAGAAAATATCAATACTACATGCTGAATGAGCATCTCAAACATTTTAGAAGGTTGTTAGTATTCTCCAAAATACACTTGGTATCTCTAGATAGGTCCCTGTTCATATTCAGATAAAAATGTTTACTGTCTCTTATGCGATAAAGTCGTGTGGTCGATGATCGTTAGTATGGCTGGTGATTTCGTAGTTATGAACCTGGTTTTTATTTGTGACATCACCTACTGGTATTGACGACATACAAAAGACGCTTAACCTTCCTGAACTGGACCCGTTTTATCTAAAACCATTGTCGTGTTCACACATGAATTCTGTACTTAACCCAACTTTCTTTAAACACACTTTAATTATGAAATGACGATTTTAAAAGGAAAGCCTAAACATTTGAAATAATATATCACTCGAAGTCTTTTCCGAAATTCCTTCAAGTCCTTGAGAAAATAATTCAGAGATCTGATTTATCACCAAGGGTATTTGAACCTGAGCCCAAAATGTGCACGGTATTATGGATACGGGCAATGGCCTGTTTGTACTTGTATTTGTACGGATTTTCTTGTTAATCTGTCTTTTGTCCATATTGTGCACTCGTGACACTGGTTTTGAGTTTAAATGACGGGTTTGTTAATACCAGCAGAGAAACTACACTCCCTTTACCTTTTTGTTGTAGCACATCTCCTTATTAAGAAAATTCATTCTAAATACTACAAATCACAATTCATCGTGTATCGACGTTCATCAGCCTTTTTTTCTGGTCAAAATAATACCAGATGTTTTTATGCCATATGATTGAATAGTATAAGGTTTTACGTTACATTCTATAAGAGGAAACATCGTGGGACGTTGATTAAATATAAATAAATGAGTTATCAAAATCAAGTTTTTGGACGACAACTGTGGGAGGAGACAAAAACGTAATTATCGAGGAAACCATCCAGTCCTTTCAGTAATGAGATAGTATTACATAGAACAGCAGAACATGAAACGATACATGTAATGTAGTGGAATTTCCGGTTATTAGATTAGTAATATAAATAGAGTGTAAAGGGGATAGTTTAATGTCCGCAGGTGGACTAAAATATATTATATAGACGTGAAGCAGCAGGCATCACGATGTCAACGAAACAGCAAAGGTCTTAAGATGATACCAATAAAAGAGGATAGATAAAGGGACGATGTTTTTTTTGATATCTTTCACTGTTCCGTCAGCAGAAAAAGCAATATCTCGAATTATATTACGCTGGACTCTTGGGATGGACAAATAAAGAAGACGACACCTATCGATGATCATGAAAAAAATCATTATTTGAATTAATACATAACTAAACAGATTTACACATTTTCTCAGTTGATGATAAAGCAGTTTCCAGGAAAACCTCTGTATAAATAAAAAGCTCCTATAGATGACAAACTTAAGTCAAGAAACATTTGGAGAGGTGAGAACATGTCTGAAATCATTCCCATTAAAGCAAGGTTTGGTTGAACAGTCTTGAAGGGCTGTGTAAGAGAAATGTATCAACATGAATGGATATTTATATTTCCGCTGTAGAACATTTAGTAAAAGACCAACCAAATAGCTGTAGTCCATGACTAGTACTCTTCGTTTCATCTACGTTTCAGTAAATTACTTACTAAATATCAATGTAAGCTAACCAATGATAGAATACCACAGCATGTTGAATACCTATAAGATATGGATGAGATAAGAGAAGCAACGGAATATTGATTTACACTTACTGATGGCACCTGGTATTGTGCGGTTGAATACATCCACTGCACACGTCAAACCAGTTCTATCTGCGCCGATAGATGAAGTGTGTGGTATTGCGTTAAATACAGCTCCGTACCTGTCCTTTATATACAGTTTGTTTCCTTGTAAACATTAATCATCATTTTCGAGTAATAATAATCACTTTACGTATCAAGTACATGAATCAAACATGAAATGATGACAAATTGACATTGAGAATATAGCCTTGGGACGTTTTCTATCTATTGTACTTGGGTATTACAACCATATAATGTTAATTACGTGTAAAGCTTGAAACATATCATCAAAAGAAACTTTATAAGGTAGATGTAAAACTTGACTTCATCACTATAATAATCCCCGTCAGGTACAATGTATGTAACACAACTAGCTGCATCAATATAGTACGATACACAAGACATCAATTGATAAATGTATATAAAGTACAGGAGTATATTGTCTTAAAGAGATGTACAACACGTGTACGAACCTCGCCAGGAATATGTGAGATAACACATATTCGTTTCAGCTAAAATTTGTCAAATAACATAATATGTAATCATTTACACTACTGACACTCTTTGTATATAATGATAGCAGGATAAAGACATTACCGCCAGAAATATTATACATCTATATGCACGTGTCGTTTAAAAGAAATAATTCTGGGTGCAATAAGTAACAATATCTTAGTATAACAAGAATTTCTTATCATTGTTAGGTAGGCTTTGCTTGGATAAAGAAACAACTGACATTCTCTGGTCTTCTAAATTATAATATGAATTATTTATGTATTGCGAGAAATAACATGATTTTTGTTTTCGTGTGAATTTAAACCTCCGACATATGATAAACTAATAAGATATTAAAATGGATCTGAAGCATAAGTTGCTTTCCTTTAGTACTAGCTTGCCATGAAATCAACTGCACATGAAAAAGTAAAAGTAGCCTTACGGAATGAATGATTTTCCGGTTGTTTGAGATGATTGATATCGGAAGAGACTCTTTCTTCATCGTCCTCCGATAATGAAAGAAGACGTCATCGATGAATATCTACCTGTGCTAGTGACGTCATCGATTCTACAATCCAATATCGTGAATTTAATTTCCAGGTGCGAGACCCAGGAAGATGTGTAATGTTGAAGACCAAAATCGGTTTCTTTTGTTATCTACTTATAGAGTTCTTCTCCAATAGACTCATATTCAAAATGTATATCTGGACAAAGTGTAAGTCTGGAAAATTTTGCATCTGGACAAATTGTAAGTTTTAGACAAAGCAAACATACTGTTTTATTGAAAGGATTGTACAAAAGACACACAATTGAAGAGAACCTTTTCATACAATTTTCTAAAAAGTTACAGAAGAGCTGAAAAATAATGAGTTAAAATGCTAGTATCATTCAGCTTCCAGGACTCGTCCATGATGCTAAGGGCCACATTTGAAGCTTAGAGGGCGACTGCGGAAAATTCAAATTGACCGGAAGGAAAGTAAAAATCTAGACACCGAGATGCATTAACCCGATAATTCAATAAATTTTGAAATTTTCATGTTTCTGATATTTTCCAAGGAACGGCAAGTGTATGATCTCCATTTATGTGTCTTAATAGATTAATAGAATTCAATGATTTTCTTCTATTGACATATAACACAAATGATATTTATCTTCCGAAATAAAAAATGAGATGTCATACGATTTAATACAATTTCAAATATTTACTGTATCAATCCAAACAAATACACATGATGAAATATTATTAATACTTCAGTAAAGCTATAACAGCATGCTGTCATTTTGTTGTTCATTCTGTTAAAATACTAGATACCATTGTTAGCACTATTCAATCTGGGGAGTTAATAATATGTTGATTTTAAAAACATAACAATCTTCAACGCCCTATTCTAAAAACATTTCTTCGATAAAAAAATCCTTTTTTTTTGCTACTCTGTACACCACCATACCAAACATTCTTAACTGAAAGATTTCTTTCGTTCTCTTGTTTTGAGTTTTCTATCGCCATGAAAGGAGAACGGCGGAACAAATATATGGTTGTGAACTATAATGAAGCGTATTTCATGAAAAAAAGCGTCCAAGTCAAACAAATAATAAAAATGACCGAGTTTCTGGTTGACAACATCTTCGGCGAATTTGGTGGTAAGATCTTCCAACAGATTATTAGCATACTTAAGTGAACTAACTGTGCACCCTCTCCCTGATTGAAAATCAAGGACACAACAGACTCTTCTACATCAACCGTCTATTTCGATCTTTTCTAGAACGAAAACAGCATGAACAGCTTTCTATCAAGCGTAAAGATGATTTCAATTTCCTTACTTTTGTAAATCGGCGAAATGATGGCTAAATATGAACATAAGAAAAATTTACATGGAGATAATTGAAAAAATAAAAAAAAAAATAAGATCAGGTGTTCAAGATTGTAAAATTACTTCTTCATCGACAACACCCGCACTATCCCGTGTTTAGCAGCTTGAACAATGTACTACTTAAAGAGAATAATCGCTTCAGTAATGCATTATGTAGAGTGAATTATGATAACGCCTTTAACCATCGTGGCTGTTGTATTGACTTATAAGGCGTGATCACCGTCTTTGAAACTACAGCTCCTTTAAATAGCCTCACCGCCCAGAGTAACAATAAAACAGGCGCATGCGGTCGTTCGCTCCTCATACCGATATTGATGAGCAGACGACACACCTTGTGCTGACCTGATCCTATTCTAGAACCGCAGTGCCGTGACGTATCCTGAAAATCTTGGTGACGACACATATTGGGACGCTTAAAACAACTTCTGGAACAATCAGATAACAATTAAAGGTAAGTGTGTAACTTGTCATTTTATACACACACAAGCAAAAATATAAAAAAGATAAGTCACTGTTAAATAAGGAAATTCATGCAAATATGTTTTTATTTTACAAGAATGGTAACTGTTATCGATTTTTCAA